ATAATCTCTAAGCATTTATGCTAGTTTTTAGCAAGAAAATGTTTTAAACTGTCAGTTCTTTTACCAACAAATTCTGCTACTGAGTCAGAGTGAAAAAAGTGAAAAGATTTATCCTACTAAACGGAAAAAAAACTAACGTGTGTTTATCAAGCACTGGATAATAAAGTGTTGATTCAACCAAAATGTATCATCATTTACCCATCTTCCACTTGTTCCAAACCTGTTTGAGACACTTTATACAAAAAATAATTAAGTAACGTGTTTTTTTCTTGCGCATTTATTGTGTATGGCCATATACCCAAAGTGCTTTAAAATCATGAGGGGTGTCTCTCAACACCACCACCAGTGTGCACTTAGATGATGCTACAGCAGCCACAGGACAACGTGCCAATGGCCTCACCACATACTAGCGATATGTGGAGTGGAGTGACAGTGATAGATCCAATTTGGTGGATGGGGATGATTAGGAGGACATGATGGGTAAGGACCAAGAGAATTTGGCCAAGACACTGGGGTTACACCCCTACTCTTTACTAGAAGTGCAATGAGATTTTTAATGACCACAGAGAGTCAGGTTTAACATCTAATCCAAAAGATGGTGCTTACAGATAGTATAATTTCCACTTCACTTTACTGGGGCATTAGGACTCTCACAGACCACCGGTTGAGCACCCCCTGCTGGTCCCACTACTTAGTTTTTCCAAGTCTCCCTGGTACTGACCAGGCTCAGCCCTGCTTAGCTTCAGTGAGTAACTGGTCTTGGGCTGCAGGGTGATATGTATGTGGCATATCAGTTGTGGCAGTTGAATACAAAAGAGCCTATACTCAACAATGTCAAAATATACTCAAGGAAGCCCTGTCAACAAAACTAGGACTCCTTCCTTTTCCCCACCACACCACTCAACAACCTCGAAAATATCATGCAATTTTGAATGTGGGAGTGAGATTGGCAATCCACCTGTAGAAAACGCACTCGTTCATCTCTCTGACACTTTAATCGACATTTGCACTGGCATCACTTCATATCTCTCTCAAAAAAATTGCACTTATGAAGTTTGCTTTACACAGTTGAGTGGGCCTGACAAACCACCTGAAGAAACACTCATCTCTAAATATAAATAACACTCCCACATAATTAATCTAGCACTTGATTCTCTGAGCACAAACCCTTCCTTTGTATAATTAGCACTTCTTGTGTGTATTGCCTCTTCTTGTTGAATCACTGAATGCCTCCTTGATTACAGGTTACTTTGGACAAAAGCTAAATGTAAACATAACCAGCAGCCATCGACTTCCATAGTATTCTTGTTCCTATAATGGATGTCAATGGCTGCTGTTTTCCAACAATCTTCAGAATGTCTTTTATTGTGTTCAGCAGAAGAAAAAAAGCATAAAAGTCTTGAACCGCTTCAGTGTGAGTAAATGATGAGGACATTAATGCTTATAGGTGAACTGTCCCTTTAAAATTAACTAATCTTTTCAATAACATACTGGAAAGAATCTCTGTTAGTCATTCATATGCATGCGTATCGTATACACACCCACTAATGATGAGACTGTTGTCAAAAAGGTATGCCTTGATGTGCTGCACGCCGATGGTTTCATTGAAGCGTTCAGGTACCAGGAGCCGCAGGAGTCCTCGCAGGTCTGGCGTGTGGTACAGCGACACTCTCATCTGCTCGGGGAAACGCTGGAGGAGCGGCAGTAACATTGTGCGGGAATTGTGCTTACCTGCAGAAGGGCAAATAATATTAAAAGGAATAACTCACACTAAGAAAGTTAAATTCACACAGTATTTACGAACAATTCCAAACCTTTAAGAGTTTTTTCTTCTGTTGAACACAAAATAAGGTATTTTGAAGAATGCTGAAAACCTGTAAACACTTACTACCATGGTAGGAAAACAACACTATATGATGGAAATCAATACAGGTTTCCAGCTTTCTTGAAATATCTTTTTTTCTGTGAGACTCCTAAATGTTTGAAGTAAAGAGTAAATTATGACTTAAATTATGTAAACAGTTCATGCAGCTAGGGTTGTTGTCATGTCAACACTTCTGTATTTCTTCTATTCATTGAACAATCTCTTTATTATATAGTAGAGATGCAACAGTATGTGTATTCATATAGCAAACATTTGCCATTTGCCATGAACATGTACTGAACAAAAAAGTTGTGTGTTAACCACTGCAACTAAAGGACTTTATTTAACCCTGTGATGCACAACGCTTATTTTTTTCTATATCTATTTTATAGCTTGTGCATCAAAGGGTTGAATTTCTAGTTTTGT